TTAAACAATATGTGTGCACAGGGACAACTCGATCGATCGAATAGTTTTTGAGTTATCTTTCCCGCCAGTTTCAAAAAACTAGTTTCGAGAAAAACGCGTTTAAAGTTTTTAGTAACTGTGTAGTAGTTAGCATCATAAATGGGCTGTAACTTCCTAACTTATTCGAATTTCCTTCTGTAACTTTGGGAGTATATTTTCTACATTTACTACTATCGATTAAAGCAAAAAAATTTTTTCGATTTTTCCAACCGGTTACATGAGGCGACCCCCTTAATGTGCACCAGTGCGTACTGAGTGCATCCAATCGAATTCGCTTATTAGTAATATTTTCTACTATTAGTAATATTACTTATTAGTAATATTTTCTACTATTGCTTCATATTATTTTTATTTTTTTCATTAGAGTAACATAACAAAAGCCAAACGCAATTTTTGAACATGCCTTCGAGGAGAACCTTCCTTTGTATACTATATTTATATTACTTTCAAGATCTAGTGTTTATTATTGTATTTTTTAATTCTGCTTTATAAGTCATAAAATTAATTTTTTTATTTTTAAATTAATTTATGAATGAGTAACCTTAATATATATTACCACCTTCATTTTTGAGAGCAAAATTAAGGTTACTTATTGACTCATCTATCGTAATACTCTCGTATTGTTTCTAAACAATTAAAGAGACTCCAAGAAGAGTAATTTCACCAATATCAATCTTGTTATATATATTACTATTTTGATATATGAAATGACATAACAATAGATGATGGAAAAATATAAATTAAATTCCTGCAACCGAACGGGCATTTTTCCTGTTACCCTCGAATAGCTATCTCGACAAATAAGTTTGGCTTGGGCGAATAGTCCTTCTCCTTCTTTATGATAACCGCGAGCGGAGAATCGGAACGGTCGTCTTATGATTTTCTATTTGGCCGCGTAATCCATGGTTCACGGTGAGACACGCTTGGATCCACGCATAGGAGCCACGTAGCCTATAAATATGATTGTAGCAACGGCGTCGCCCTCGCGGAGTCTGACCCCTCGAGTCATTCACATAGGATTACGGTACGCTGTCTCGTCTGCTCCCTTTACGACGATCTTATTGGATTTCAATCGGAGACTACAGTCAACCCCTTCAACTATCATAGATCCTTCTGAACTATCTTGGATCCTGTACAAGCTAATCGTTTCTTACCGGTTTTAATTATAAGACTCAAGCAAATTTATGTTATAACCCGATCACGATCAAGTTTATTACATAAATACAAATGATATGATTTAATGAGACGAGCAAATTGAAATAAATAATTCTAGCCTTTAAAGGGTGCGAGATTCTAGTTTTTAAATCTTACTTTTAAAGTTTTACCTTAAATCTCAATCTTTAAGTACATACGATTAAATCATTCGTGTCTAGTAGTACATTTCTTTTCTTCGAAAAACTAGGGTTATTAAGTAATTAATTATCTCATTTATATACAATTTTTTTTAATACAAACAATCTTATAAATATTTTCTAAGAATGTTAAAGTATGTGTAAGAATTACTTAATAATTTTTATATACAGGGTATTGAAAAAACCATTCAGCATTTATATGATAGATAGTGTATGTATAAACACCATACTGAATAAAAAAATCTTAATAAACATAGGTTGACAACTCAACCGTTTCTGAGATATAAGCATTTTTGTATGTTAGCATCATAAATGACTTACTGGCTTCTACGTGTTGCATGCGATGTTTAGCTCAGTGTTTATAAACTGCGTTCTGTATGTCCTCATTCAATTTCCATACTTTATAACAGGAGATTTCACCGGTAAATGGAAGGAGGACATGTCGAACATCTTCTGTAAATATAGCAAATCAGCTATTCAAAAATGTTTATATCTCAGAAACGGTTGAGTTTTCAACCTATATTCACTAAGGTATTTTTACTCAGTATGGTGTGTATATACATTGTCTACTATATAAATGTTGAATGGTTTTTTTTTAACATCTTGTATATCTATTTGTTAAAATGATGAAAATTAACTCGGGACACGAATAACTTATATAACCTCGTGTGTAGTAAAGGATTGAAAAATCATTGTGTACTATGGATTAAAATCTTTTTAAATTCTTTTCTCTCTCTCTCTCTCTCTCATAAGTTAATATAAATAGAGATTTATTTAAGGATAATTTTTCTCATCAAGAGCAATCTATACTTAATAAGATCCTATTTTCTTATCAACTTAAAATTGTAGGCATATCTATCAAATTGATTGAACACTCAAGGCAGGGTATAGATATATCTATTATACTTTTGTTACGAGGAAAGTTAGAAAGGCAGATACGGTCACTAACTCGTTCTCACGTTAACCCGTTGTCGACTCGGACGTTCCAAAACAGCGCGGAGGACAATAATGACCTCCGCGTTGCAGTTCTGGGGGTGACTTCACACTGGTGACTCGCTACATAATGCGCGGCGTTGTTAAAATCCCATAAACGGCCGAAGGAAACGACTGTTGGCGGAAGGGTAGTTCTGGCGGTTTTAGGCTTGCCGTGCACGTAGCGTTAATCCTGCGCCGGTGCTTATGTATCTCCCTTTTCACCTTCTCTCTCTCTCTCTCTCTCTCTCTCTCTCTCTCTCTCTCTCTCTCTCTCACTTTCTCTGCTCTGCTATTTTCTCACTCACGAGCCACTTGCTCTCTTTAAAAGGAGAACGAGACGAGAGGAGATTGGTAGAGGAGAAGGGGAAGGCAGGCTCTCCTCTCTTTCGGTTGACACTTAATTTCCGTTATTCGTACGCAATCCTCAGTACACCGGCTTTATGTCACCTACCCCCTTTTCCCGCTAGATCCCCTTCATCTCCTCCTCCACTTCTCCTCCTATATCATTCTTCCTTTGCGCAACCCTCAACACTACGCACTGTGTCTCCTTCATTCTCTTAGTTAACTACCCGATTCCCCAAATACAAATTCGCGCCACTCGTTCTTAGATGATGATGCTTGATACTTTGAATTCAACTTTGATTGCTATTAAACGATTGCTTATTTAATGGAATTAAATTGGATCTTATTGCAGGTAACTTACAGAATTATTTTGATATTTCAATGTGATTGAAATATTTCCGATTAGTTGTTTCTATCTAAATGATAACAGAAAATAGAATCAAGATCATAAACTTGAAATACAATATCATCTTTGAAAATTGATTTATATTAAAGAGATATACCGAGTTTTAATATGAGATACATATCATTTTTTAAACGAGATTAATGCGATGGAAATCGTATTAATCTCGTTCAAGTAACGATAATAGTAAAGTAAATAAAAAAAGGGAAAGCGACGGACAAAATAAAAGTTTCGTCCATTCAGTTGAACATTCTTGCAGACTGCTTGTGTTCAAAAGCGTCGTCGTTGTCGCCATAACCGTGGGGATTACATTGTCGTAAAATCTTCGGGAATTTACATGAGGAATGTCTGCAATAAAATATTGATGCGACGCATTTGAATGCGCCGATGTTCAAGAAGGGACTGTTCGGCTGATCTCCCGTTCAAGGTCCCTTCCCTTTCTTACCATCGTGCAGATCATGCGACTTTCGCTCCGTCGAATGAACCTAACTCGTACATTTCGTACATTTCTTTATGGTCGTAGAATACAAAATAAAGAATTATTTTTAGGCTTGTAGAACATAATAAATATATAAATTACATTTGATTTAAGATTCAAAGAATAACATGTTGCAGTTATAATATGCTTTTAACGTGTAAAGAATTATATGTAAAATTATAACAATTATAATAATAATTATAATTAATAATTTGGGATTCACTATTAAAGATGTATATTTATACATACACATAAAATAAAATTAATGTATAAATAAAATTATTCTTTTTTATTAATGTAAACACTCTGCAAAAATAAATTTACAATTGAAGTTTATAGAATTATTTATATATTAATTGAATAAGAAATTACGTACAATTTTTCTTAAATTGTGTTATTTATATGTACGTGTACAAAAATGCAAATGTGATATAATAAGATATGTTTACATAATTAAAAATAAAACTAATTTTTGTAAAAACGCCCAATTTTATATATACTATCACATTTCACGAATTGTATAATGCTTTTGAAATTTTTACGGGTGTTGCTACTAATATTTCAAAGGAAAAAAATGCGCTGAATACAAATTGCTCATTGTATGTACTAAGATTTAAAATACAGATATTTGGTTACAACAAAATATAATATTTGGATACACATAATTCGTGATCACTGCTTAGCCACAGTTCGATCTCGAGAAATTATTAAGAATAGAAAATTGAGAAGCTGCGGCAATTTTTTCTTTGCGAACTACCATCTGAGGTTATTGCC